ATAGATGTTGAGTCCAGACAGGATCTACACACGTAGGTCAATGAAACTGCCAACAAAGGTACAGAATATTATCTTCACCCCAGAAAATTCCCTCATGCTCTTTCCTAATCAGTTCCCACCCTCACCCCAGATCTAATAGTTTTTACCACTGATCATTTTTGCTTGTTCTAGAATTTCACATAAATAGAACCCCAGAGCATGTACATGGTATACTCTTATGTCTGGTTTCTTTGGCTCAGCCAATGTTTTTGCTCTTCATGAAAGCAATAATGTGTTATTATCAGTTTTCCTTTTTATTGCTAGTAGTATTCCACTGTATCATTAAATCTCATTTTGTTTATCCATTCTCCTATTGGTTGCAAGAATTATTTTAATTTAAAAATTTGTTCTTTAATGAATTTTCATTAGGATGCTTCTGCCTTTCTCTTAAGAATCTCCTCCTTGGCCAGGCGAGGTAGCTTGTGCCTATAATCTTAGCACTCTGGGAGGCCAAGGAGGGTGGATCCTTTGAGCTCAGGAGTTTGAAACCAGCCTGAGCAAGAGCAAGACCCCATCTCTAAAATTAGCGAGGCGTTGTGGCAGGCACCTATAGTCCCAGCTACTCCAGAGGCTGAAGCAAGAGTTTGAGGTTGCTGTGAGCTATGACACCATGCCCCTCTACCATGGGTGACAAAGTAAGATTCTGTCTGAAAAAAAGAAAAAATTCCCTCATCATCTATAGCAAACTAGGTCTGAGTCATGTCGATTGGAGCCTGACCTTTGACATCAAAAAGCTCTAGATTCTTATTTCAGTTACAACTGTTACTAACTGGGTAACCTTACCTCACCAATCTGCTCCTTACTTTTTACATCTATTAACCAGGAATATAAATATCTAAGGGACATGAGATGCTTATTAGGATGAGAATAATTCATTTATCCCTTGGCTCAATCCTGTACCGTTAATGAGCACCTGCTGTGTTCCAACTGTGCTAAGCCTGGAGAGACAACAGGAAGCAAAAGCAGGCACAGGCATTGTCCTCACAGGGGTCAGGCTGGGGGGCTACAGAGAAACCAAACAACTAATGACACAATATTTAATTGCCATTATGATCAATGCTTCAAGGGAACTGTGACAGCTACTAAGAAAGAGCATGTGACAGAGTTCCTTGAGGAGGCTGAGAGTGGAAAGATGAGCTAGAGTTAAGTAGGAAAAGGGGGATCCTTCCAGGCAGAAGGAACCACAGCACCCCAATACTCTCTGGAGGGCAGGAGCACTGCACAGCAGAGGAACTGTAGGAGGCCATGTGTGTTTATGTGGGAACTGGTGGGGAAGGAAGGTGAGCAGGAATGCAAGGAGGGTGACCAGGCTAGGCCATGTTCCTGCCACATGGAGCTTCACAGACTTCATTCAGAATGCTGATCTCTAAGCTCAGAGCCATAGGCAGCCGAGGACGGGGGTGCTATGATAAGCTTCACACAAGAATGTCAGGTGGGAGTTGTTGTGTTGTCCACTATTATATCCTTAGTGCTTAGAACAGCACCCTGAATCAATCTGTGGAAGGAAGGGAGGGAGGATTTTAAGTAGAAATTTGAGATTTTGTGTCTCACACAGTCTCTAGCTACATTGTGCGGACTGGGTGGGAGACAGCCCCAATAGATACCCCTCTGCTGGGGCTACCCAAGTACCGCAGACTGTGGGGCTTAAATAATAGAACTTTTATTTTCTCACAGTTCTGATCCCTGGAAATCCAAGACCAAGATGCCATCAGGATGGGTATCTGGTGAGGGCTTACTTTCTGGCCTGTAGATGGCAGCCTTCTTGCCATGTCTTCATGGCCTTCCTCCTATGCAGCCAGGAAGGGGGGAGAGCTCTGGTGTCTCCCCCCTCCCCCATGAACATGTCAGCCTTATTGGATTAGGAGCCTATCCTTATGACTTCATTTAACCTTCACTATGTCCTTAAAGGCCCCATCTGTAAGTAGTTAACATGTGAATTTGGAGATGGACACAGTTCAGTTCATAACACAAGATGGATGCAGGGAAACCATTTAGGAGGTTACTGCAGTAGAGGAGGGAAATGCCGGGAGCTTGGACTAGACGTTGACAGTAAAGATGGAGGAACACTGAGCAGAAAGGCCTACCAAGCCAGGCATAGTGGCTCATGCCTATAATCCTAGAACTCTGGGAGGCAGAGGCTGGTGGCTTGCTTGAGCTCACAAGTTTAAGACCAGCCTGAGCAAGAGCAAAACCCTGTCTAAAAAAGTAGCCAGGTGGGCTAGTTGTGGCAGGCGCCTGTAGTCCCAGCTACTTGGGGGGCTGAGGAAAGAGGATGGCTGACAGTTCAAGAGTTTGAGGTTGCTGTGAGCTGTGAGCTATAACACCAGGGAACTCTACCCAAGATGACAGAGCAAGACTCTGTCAGGAAAGGGAAAAGGAAAGGAAAGGAAAGGGAAAAGGGAACAGGAAAGGGAAGGAAAGAAAAGGAAGAAGGAAAGGGAAGGAAGGGAAGGGAAGTGAAAAGCCTACTGGACTCCGTGGGGGGACTGCCTGGGGAGACAGGAGGAAGAAGAGGTGTCAAGGATAATTCCCAAGATATGTCTACATCATAACCCCTGAACCCTGTGAATGTGAACTTATGTGGAAAAAGGGTCTTTGCAAATGAAATTAAATTGTGGATCTCAAGATGAGGTCATACTGGATCATCCAGGAGGGTCTTACATCCAAAGATAAATCTCCTTATAGAAGACAAGAGGAGAAGACACAGGCACAGAAAAGGGGAACGAAAGGAATTGTAGTGATGTGGCCACAAGAAGCCACCAGAAGCTGGAAAAGGCAAGAAAGGACTCTTCCCTAGAGCCTTCAGAGGGCCAGCAGCCCTGCCAACATCTTGACTTTGGATTTATGGCCTCCAGAGCTGTGAAAGAATTAATTTCTCTAGTTTGGGGTCCCAGAGTTTGTGGTCATTTGCTAAGACAGCCCTAGGCAACCAACACAAAGAGCAAGTGACTACATTCATGGAGGGGCATCCTGGGGGCTCAGGGCTTGGGCTTGTGGAATAGGAGGAAGAGTGGAGCTCAGATTTAGAAATGTAGGATGTGTGATGGCTTTAAGATGTCAGGAGATGAAAGGGTAGCAGATGGGCTTACAGTAAATACTCAACAATCAATAGCTATTACCATTATTTGCTTTAGGGATAGATAGTCCTATATTAGAAGAAGTGATTGCTCTGCTCAAGCACATCTGATTTTCCTAGAGTCTTGGGGCAGGAACCAGTTTTAACTTCTGCCAGCAGCACAGCAAAGCTCTGTACTCTTCTCTTTGGACCTACCACCCCTGTTTGAAGGTAAATATTTCCTGGTACAAAGTTCTGTTTGAATCTCTTCTGGGCCTTTGGACTAAGATCAGGTGCAAAGTTCTATTTGTACTTCTTTACCTCAGGCTGATCAGGCCGATACCAGTTTCACACCCACCCAGAAAGTCCACATCGCAACCATCCAGGGCGAGCTGGCGGGGGCGAGGGGAGCGGCCCAGTTTCCCCGCTCCTCTCCGTCCTCCGGTGCCCACCTGGCTCATTCGCAGCTGAAGTCCGCCATCTAGTGGACGCAGGCAGTCCTAACAGCCTCGTCCTAAACAGAAAGTCAAAATCACAGAGATCGCCTCCTCTAATTGGCGCTAAAAGTCAAGGACACGGGTGGAGCATCTCCCAGTTACTTGGGAGGCTGAGGCAGGAGGATTGCTTGAGCCCAGGAGTTTGAGGTTGCTGTGAGCTAAGACACCACAGCACTCTACCCAGAGTGACGAAGTGAGACTCTGTCTCAAAAAATAAATATAAATAAATAAATAAATTTTAAGGGGGGGCACAATACAGCCCCTACCATTCTCTCTGCTTTCTTTCCATTTGAGAAACAAAACACTGATGGCGGTCTTAGCTTGTTCCCAATCTCAGAACTGATTTAGAATCAGAACTTTACCCAGTGGCAGGCCCTGCTGTCTTCACCACACCTCTGTTAACTCCTGTGTCCACCTCCCTGCAGCCAAACCCCCTTTCTGAATCCTCTCAGAATATCTTCCTTCAGAGTTCTGGCACCAAGCACAGGGCACATCGGCAGACGTTGTCCTCATAATAAGTATTTCTTGAAAGGAATGAGACTGAAAACAAAATTTTTTTTAAAACCTCTCCTAAACAGTTTTCAGAGATTTAGCTAAAAGGAAAGGAAGACAGGCACACAAGCTCATGATTTGAAGTGATAAAGACTCTTTAGAACAGCAAAAATGATGACGCCTATGGATTAGAACAGCAAAAATGTTGAAGCCTATGGATGTGTAAATGAGCCTGGGGAAGAACTAATCAGAAGGGTAAATTACCAAACAGAAAAAGACAAAAACAAGCAAGGAGAGAACAGTGCATATTTCAATGTGTTTGGTTCATAAGAAATTCATGAGCAATTTTGGAAATTTTGTTGGTTTTGGTGGTTGGAGAGAACTGTAAATATGTATAATATGTAAATACCTTTTATAATAAAAGCCCATGAAGATAAATGAGCCTTTCTGCGGAAAAGTTGTGAGCTGTATAAGATGTTAATATGACTGTCATCACTCTAGAAATTACCATAATGCTTACAGGGATTTGAAAGTTCCTGAGCTTTGGAAAGAAACGCATAAATACTGACCAGAAAACACACACACACACACCCCTTTTTTTTCTTTTTTTCCTGTTTCTTTCTTTCTTTCCTCCTTTTTCTTTTTTAATGTTAGAAAGTGAAAACAGGCTTTGGAGTTATGCGACCTTGGGCAAGTCATCCAGTCCCTTCTAAGGACTCCCGTTCCCCATCTGTGAAATAGGGATACTCTGCGGGAGCCGGAAGAGACCGCGTAGGAGGCGCTCAAGCCACGCCCCCTTCCTGCACGGTACGCACCGCCCCGCGGCCACTGGAAGGCCCTGGGGACCGGGCGGGGGCGGGGCGTCTCGGGTCGCACCCCGCCCCGCTCCCCATGCTCCGCCCTGCGCTCTCCCGGGAGATGGCGCCGGCTGCGCGGCCCTGGGCGCGGGCCCTGTGGCGGGCCTGCAACTGGCTCATGGCCGCCTTCTTCGCGCTGGCGGCTTTCGTGCAGGTCAGGCGGGCCGTGGCGGCGCCCGGACGGCGGGGGCGGGCGGGGACGCTCGGGGCTTTGGGCCCTGGGCTGCGAGCTCCGCCACCAGTTCGGGCGTGCAGTGTAGACCTACAAGCCCGCAGAGTCTCAGGGGTGTTCACTTCACGCAGACGACGGAAATTGAGGCTTATTCTTGGGAGACCCCCAGTCCCTCCCCTGCTCAGACACAGATGCATTCATGGCAGCAAGCCACATGCCCGCGAACCTGACGCGACCTCCCCTCTTGTGCTTAGTCTGTTTAGACGCCCCGGCGCGCTGGTGCAGCGCGGGTCACTTTAAAAAGCACCTTCCTTGGCACCTTTCTTTACTTTAACCCCATGGGTGAGACTGAACACAATTCAGGGTCTCGGATGAGGAAGCCGGACAAAACCTTTCCAGCATAATTATCCTTTCCGGTCTGCCTTGTGACCCCTTCATAATCATTGCCTTCATTTCTTGAGACTGGAGTGTTCTTAAAATACCGCTTCCAGGTTTGACGTGTCTTCTTCAGAGCTCCTGTGCAGTTCTGTTCAAAAGTATGCGGCTGTACAGTAAGACCATCTGTTGTGTTCATCCAGAAAGCCCTTCAAACCAGCCTAGTCTGCTAGACTGTGTCTTGCTCAGATTTTGTATCCTCCGTGTCTATGCAGTGTCTGGCACTGAACAAATGAGTAAAAAAGCAGACCAAATGTAGGAAGGGAGCAGGACTGGGTGTCTGCTAATACCGTGACGTTTTGGCAATTCCAGGTAAATGATCCAGATGCTGAGCTGTGGGTGGTGAGTATGAGCTGCTTTTGACACTTCCCTCCTTTTGGAAGAATTGTGGAACAGGCAAAACATACAGCTGTCTCTGTTTGCCCCTCCTCCTTACTTTATTTACTTAAAAACTTAGAAGTTAAACCCTTTGTAAGCTCTTTTTTCCTAAAAGGGGATGAGAGTGATGATGTAACGTGTGGTGTGTAAATTCCAAAGTTTCTGGAAACAGAGGTCTTTCCACAGTATTCCCTTTGAGTAGATGGCCCAGCTGAGGACCTAGAGACCACTCAGGATAAATTGAACCATTTCCTTAGGAAGTTCTAGCCAGAAACTCCAGCAAACTTTTGACTGGGAAATGCCAGGCCTAAAAGTTCCGTGGTTCTGCTGAGGAAGTGAGTTATAGTTATAGAAGTAATTAAATCTCTTTAAATCTACAGTATTCATTTAACCAATGCTCTGATTTGAACAATTAGAGCAGTGATTTTTCAGCCGTGGCACAGGGCCATGAGAGGATCTCAGGTGTGCTTCGAACATTTTATTTTTTTATTTTTTGTTTTTTGTTTTTTTGAGACGAAGCCTCAAGCTGTCCCCCTGGGTAGAGTGCCATGGCATCATTCTCACAGCAAACTCCAACTCCTGGGCTCAAGCGAGTCTCCTGCCTCAGCCTCCCAAGTAGCTGGGACTACAGGCGCCCGCCACAGCACCTGGCCATTTTTTTTGGTTGCAGCCATCATTGTTTGGCGGGCCAGGGCTGGGGATTCGAACCCGCCACCTTAGGTGTATGTGGCTGGCGCCTTAGCCGCTTGAGCCACAGGCGCCAAGCCCGAAAATTTTAAAGATCATTAATGAAATTATTTTTGAAAAAAGTTCAAAGCACAGTATTTTTTTACTATATTTTTAATCAATGTAATTTAAGTGTGCCGTGCAAGTTTAACTATAGATTCAAGTGTGCTGTGAGATTAAGAAAAAAAAAAAAAAGGTTGCAAACACTGCATTAGAGAAATGTATGTCTCATACATTTTGCCAAATATTTTAATTTTGTCCTGATTCTTTCAATACAGATACACAAGACTGTCCGAGATCACTGAGATGATTCTTAGCCTTTAGAATAATGTTCTCCATGTTAGCAACACACATGGAAGCATTTAGAATTATAATGCCAACTTCTAGTCCATTTCTTTAGTGCAGTAAAACCTCATTCTGCTATTGCTTATTATCCAGATTCATATGCCTCCAAATCAAATCAAATTGCCTTTTTCTTGAGACTCTGACCTATATCTCAAGTTCTAAATATTATTTCCCTACAGACAGGTCTCAGATATCTAGCTTAATGTTGAATTTCCAAAAGACTGCTGGATATCCCCACCTGTACATCGCACTGCTCCTCAGGCAGGCCCAAGATCCTACCTGGTATCCCTCCCTGCATACCCACTCCTCTACCTGACTTGCCCATTTCTGTTATCAGCAGAATCATTCTCTGAGTTATCATCGGTCAAAACCTCAGTCATCTTGAATGTCTCTCTGTTCCTTAACCAGTGCCTTTGGGTGAGATCCCCTCCAAAGACAAGTAAGTTTGAGCCGAGGCTAAGGTGAGAGAATCCCTTGAGCCCAGGAGTGTGAGGCCAACCTGGGCAACATAGCAAGACCCCTTAATTAAATTAAATTTAATTAATTAAACTACAATCTAGGTTTAACACTTATCTGTACCCTCCATGTACATTTCACCTTTAATGTCATGTTCAGAAAATATAACATGAAGAAAAGGCCTTATGTCCCCACAGACATCCTCTCTCATTCCTACTTCCGCCTTTCCCTGCCTCCCCCATGGACCCCTGAAACAGCTTCTCAGCTCTTCTGTCTACCTCACATCTCTTCTGCTCCTAGACCACTTTCTGTACGTTACTTTCTGCTTCAAAAACTTGTTACATCCCAAGATCTCTTAAGTTGAAATTCCCAACTTGGATTCAAGGCCCACCACGTTATGGCTCCATTCTGTCCTCCCAGCTTGGTTGTTGAAACCTAATCCATTAATAATAGTTAATGTGCCTTGCCTCTAGAATTCCTGTGTGTCATACTCTAGCCAAATTTTAAGGACTATCTCAAATGCTGTCTCACCCACAAAGATCTTTCTGCCTCTTTCCTGTAAGTTCCAACAATTCTTCCTTTGAACCTTTTGATAGCACTAACACATTTGGCCTTATATTGGAGTTGGCTGCCAGCTCCCAGGAGAATAAGAGCCAATCTTCCATCTTCTTGTTAGTCTTTAGGCAACCTAATGGAGTGGCTCCCTGATAGAAATCCTTCCTGCAGCTCTGCTCCTATAGCTCAGCAGCTAGGGCACCAGCCATATACACCAGAGCTGACGTGTTCGAACCCAGCCCCGGCCTGTCAAACAAAAATGACAATTACAACAACAACAACAAATAGGCATTGTGGCAGGCACCTGTAATCCCAGCTACTTGGGAGACTGAGGCAAGAGAATCGCTTAAGGCTGAGGGTTTTTTTTTTTTTTTTTTGGTTTTCTTTTTAAGCCCAAGAGTTTGAGGTTGCTGTGAGCTGTGATGCCATGGCACTCTACCGAGGTTGACATAGCATATTGACTCTTGAATGAATGGATGAAGGGATACATACATACTAGGTTACTGGGCCTTGGGACCTGGTCTATACCCAACTCATTTCCATGTTCTCTACCTCACCTTGCAACCAGATGTGATAAGTGCCACACAAGCAGAGACTACCACTTCCTTAGTCATTTCTGAAACTAGAGGGTGTATTGGAGTACACCAGCCACTCATCTCACCTTTCTTTACTTCCTGAACACGTTTGAACATCTCCTATATTAGGCACACTTCTTAAGCCACATTATTTCCTCTTTTTTTGCTAACAGGTGATGTACACGATACCTGCAGTACTGACTCTGCTTGTGGGATTTAATCCTCTTGTCACAGGTATAAACCTTGCATTTTGAATGGAGATACAACAAATCAGATTTCCTTACAACAATGAGAGTCTATCCTCCCAACTCCTAGAAAGAAAATGGGGTACCCTTTCTGATAGAGGGGATAATTCTAATCTAACTTATCCTTCCGACTGGGAAACATTATGAGGGTCTTCTATACTAAGTCCTTCTTCACCAATTTAGACTGAAGACCTCTGATACTGATGTGAAATCATGGTCATGCAGTTTAACCCATGAGAGAGGATGATTTCTATCACTGCATTGATTTCTTAAGCCACCACACTAACAATCGAAGTGTTACTCTTGTGTCCCCTTACACAGTGGCAATCAATGCCTATTATATATTTTCTCTTTATAACCTAGTTCAACTCATTTTTGTACACATTTTTCTTAGAGTAACACCATTCCAGTTAATTCATTTTCTTATTTTGGATTTATTCGATCCCTGTGTATATAAACCAGTACTCAAATTTATTATAGAAATTGTTTATAATGTCCATAACAAATATCTAGATTTTTCATTAAAATATGTTGTTTTTCCTAATCTCCCTATGTATTATCAAGGTATTTACAGCAATGTATTACCTGCTTCTATGTAGGTTTCCCCTTTCTAGGCTATGCAAGGGGGATCATGGTTTAAAAGCAGGATCATGGTGTGTACATCTTTGCACAAGCTTGGCCTACATTTATGTCAATCTGGGATGCTGTAACAAAAATATCATAGGCTGGGTGGTTCATAAACAACAGAAATTGATTTCTCCTAGTCTTGGAAGCTAGAAAGTCCAAGATAAAGACGCCAGAAGATTCAGTGTCTGGTGAGGACCTATACCTGGTTTGTGGGTGTTGTCCTCTCTCTGTGACCTCATGGTAGAAGGGGCAAAGGAGCTTTCTCAGATCTCTTTAATAAGGGCACTAATCTCATTCATGAGGGCGCCACCCTCATGAACTAACTATCTCCCAAAGGCCGCCCTCCCAATACCACCACCTTGGGGGTTACGATTTCAATGTACAGATTTGGGGAGACACAAATATTCAGTTCATAACTATATGACCAGGCACATAGTAAGTACTTGATGCTTGCCAAAGGAATGAATGGCTGTAAAACAGGATTTGCTATATATTTATTCTGTAACCTTCTTCTTGGATACCTCACATGTACATCCCAGGTGTGTATACATGTAAAAAAAAATCTACTTAAGATAGTTTATATAGCTCACAGGCTACCTAGCTCAATGCTGGACAAAATGTAGCTGCTTCACTTTTTATGGCCCTAAAAACCTCTCAACCAACTTTAAGTTAGGCAGTTTTATACTATAAAACAGTGTCTTAGAAAAACATACATTTATATTGGTTATTAACATTTTATTATTGGGAACTATTCCTTCTGATAGATTATTTTTCACTTTCTTTAAAATAGCTCTTAGTAGCTTGAACATTCTCAGGGGCCTTAGAATAAAAAGCAACAATTCCTACCTAGGTGGGGAAAATTCTAGCTCCCTAGATGTCTGGGTTCCTCACAGGCCCCAGAACTCTTATCTGTATCTTTAAGGTGGGTCAGTTAGGGCTGCTTGAGTTACAAACTAGGGGGAAAAAAACCCTCAACTCAAATGTGCGATGAGCTAAGTAAGAGAGAAACAGGCTGGCAAGTTTATTAGGAAGGGGTGGAAAGGTGCTGGCTTCAGGCACTGGTGATCCCTGAACTTCACCCCTGGCTCTGCAAGGCAGACCGGCAGCTCCCAGTTCACTTCTTCCTAACACCGAGTCCAACAAGAATTAGAGTCTGTTTTTTCACTCCACCAACATGTGAGAATCAAATGGTGGCCCCTGACTCATTGTCTGTTTGTCCTGAGCCAAATCACTGTGGCTGAGGGGATGAGTGCATTGATCAACCTGGCTAAGGTCCAGTTTGCCAAGACACACAGACCGGGGGTAGAAAGGGTGGATGCCCAAAGAAAATGAGGATAGTCATCACAGGAAGAGGAGGTTATGTTTATAATTGGTGCTATGACCTCTGTGTTGTCCCTCAAAAAAAAAAAAAAAAAAAAAAGACGTTCTAGATGCCTTTTCTGAATGCAGACTGGCAGAACAGGTGCAGAGATCATTTTCCTATGGGATATGATTCCATTACAAACAGCATCAGGATGTCTATTTTTAGGTAACATTATTTGGAAGAGCATCTCTGCGATACACATATTCTTTTGTGTGGTGTGGGCTGTCGGCTTGGCGTACCACCTCCTGCTTCACACACAACAACACATCTTACATGAGGAAGAAGGCAGGTGAGCAGTGACTTTTTTGCCCTTCAGAAGGGTGGGATAGAACTGAGAAATCTTGCATTCCTTTATAAGACTGTATCTGCGTAGAGTGATGATTGAATTCTTCCAACTATACCATGAGAGGCAGAGAAGGTATTACCTCCTTTATAAGCTGAAGGAACTGAGGAAATGATGGAGCCAGGATTCAAACCCAGCACTGCCTGTCAGACGCCATCATTTCTGGGACAGGCAGCCATTGTATAATACATTACAATTTCCTTATACTGCAGTCGGGCAGTGGACCTTGGCCTCCTGGTGGCTAGCAGCAGTGCTATGCAGTAACACTCAGTCCAGTTGCCATCATAGCTCTGTCAGCATTCTTACTGATTCTGGTTTAAGCCAGAATCTTATCTACAAGTGTGATCAGCCACCTCAGAGGTCAGGATTTGAAGTGAACCTCTCTTAGACTTGGATGGTGGAATGTCTCGTGTCACGTCCTCACTTTGTCACCACCACCTGTTCCTATTTTATCACCTCTTCCTTTGCCTCCTGCCTCTCTTGACCTCCTTGGCATGGTAAATAGCCCCTGCTGACATCTGCCAACACCAAAATTGAGAGACCTGTTAAGGTCAGCAACATCCCTGAGAAGTGCTGCTTTGTTCTAGGCTCTAATCTTTTTTTTTTTTTTCCCGGTTGCAGCCATCATTGTTGTTTGGCGGGCTGGGGCTGGATTTGAACCCACTACCTTAGGTGTATGTGGCTGGCGCCCCAGCCACTTGAGCCACAGGCGCTGAGCCCTAGGCTCTAATCTTTAGACAACTGGAGAGCCAGTCAGGCTGGGTCTGTGGATGGGAAGGGAGAGCAAGTGGGTTGAAGCAGCATGAAGCACATGGGTTATGGTAAACTCAAGGGCTTCTAGTAGAACTCTGGCTGACTGTGATCATTTTTTAATTGTGTTATAATGCATATATCTAGGCCAAGCGTGATGGCCCACACCTGTAAACCTAGCACTCTGGGAGGCCAAAGTGGGAGGATCACTTAAGCTCAAGAGTTCAAACCTCGTCTCTTAAAAATAACTAAAAAATCCAGCAGGTCATTATGGCCCACACCTGTAGTCCCAGCTGTTTGTGAGGCTGAGGCAGGACGATTTGCTGTGCCCAGGAGTTTGAAGTTGCTGTGAGCTAGGCTGATACCACAGCACTCTACCCAAGACGACAGAGTGAGACTCTGTCTCAAAAGAAAAAAAAAAAAAGATACATATAGAAGGATATCCCCACCCCTAAATTATAGTCTGATTCATACTACAAATCATTCTCCTAAGAAGTGACTCAATCTCGTGTGAAAATAATGACTGATCAAATATGGGATTGTTTTTTAGTTGTACTGTTCCTCCAATAACCTGAAATAAGTGATATATCTGTGTGGGTTTTTAAATATTCATTTAATTTTGTGAAGGTCTACTTATAAGCAGTCATGGATCTCATATCTGCCTCTTAAGATGAAATATATTTTCATATAAGCCTTTAAACTGTCTGAAAAAAAGTTAATTTATGAATCACAGCTAGACTTAAAAACATTCGATAGATGCCATATATCTTGAGGAAATCAAGTAGTCAAAAAATGTGATAATACAAATCTTACTTGCAGCTACTTCAAAAATATGAAATGTATGCTCATTTATAGGGAGCTCTCTGGTCTGGTGATTATCACAGCATGGATGAGCCTATGCCACAGTTCCTCAAAGTAAGTATTCAAACTCATCAGTTAAAATCAGATGTCTTCAAGGTTAGTAAGATCAGGTAGTAAGTGAAAATACTGACATACAAGTAAAAACAGGAATCTTTAGAAAGAAATCTTTCCTTTTACTTAGGGAAGATAAGAACAGTTGATTTGAAGTTTCATGATCACTTATGTTCATGAATACCAGAGTTTTCTATGTGGCTCAGTGTAGTCAGAGGCAATTGCCAGCCTAAAAGGTGTTCTGGGGGAAGGAAAATGGTCTCACAGGGAGCTTGAAGATTTAAGCAAGAATAAAGGGCAAAGGAAATATAAATGTGTGAGTACATATAAATGAATATTAACTTATCAGACAATAATAATGATGTTTTGTGGGTTTAAACATATATTGGATAAAAATACTTAGCCACAGTAGCATGTAAGTTGGAAGGGGAGAAATGGAGTTAATGTGTTCCAAGGTTCTTTAATGGTCCAGAAGTGATAAAAGTACCAATTTGTAGACTTGGATAAGTCAAAGATTCATTTTGTAATCCTTGAATATGAGAAGGCAAGAAAAGTGACTGGGGAAAAACAGAACAAATGAGATAAATGGAAAGGATATATTAAGAAAGAAATTTAAAGCCAAAGAGACCAGAAATTATATTAACTGTGAATGTATAAAATATTCCAGTTGCATCAAAGATGTTCAAAATGTATAAAAAGCTTAAAAACCCACTCTAGACTGTTTACAAAAGATAACTCTTAAATATATAGATACAGAAAGATTTAAAGTCAAAATATGGAAAAAATTTGCTATAAAAGTACCAAGTGAAAGCCAGTATAACAATTTTAAAAATAAAATAGACTTTAAGACAATTATTTGAGAAAAACAACATTTTTAAATATTTTAAATTTTTTTAATTTTTTATTTTGAAAATTTTCAAAAATATTGAAAAGTGGAGAGGCTAATAAAATAAATCAGATGTACCAAATCACCCAGCTTCAACAACTATCAGTATGTCCAATCTTGTTTCATCTAAACCATTTTCTTTCTTCACTCCATACTGCCAGGCTTTTTGGAAATAAATTCCAGACATCATATTGTTTCCTCTATATTCCAGAATGTATCTCTAAAAGAAAAGCATTTCAAAACTAACCAGTCTACTATCATCATACAAAATCTACAGAACAATTACTCTTGTGTATTATGAGTTTTCTAGTCGCTGTTTCAGTTTCCCAGTTATCTTATAAATGCTTGTCTCTTTGTGCCTTGTAATTCCTATAAATTGGTGGTTAAATCTAAAAGTTTGATAGGTTCTGATATCATGCTAATTATTTGTTACAGACTACTTTATGTTAAATAATGGTACTATGTACTTCCATCACAATATACATAATGCCTACCTGCTTCTCTGTGATATTAATAGTCTTTGATGATTATTGCCTAAATCTGTTAACTCATTGGGTTGCTAAATAGTGATATGCTAATTATATCATTACTTATTGATTAGCTGGAAAACATCTATAAAGAGAAACTTCCACTTACTGATTCTTGACTACTCTGAGATATATATCAGAAGCAGAAAAGGAAAGGAAAAGGGAGTTGACTTGCTCCCTTTATTTACCAGCTTTTTCCCTTATTTTTTTTCTTTGAGACAGAGTCTCACTTTGTCGCCCTTGATGAGGTGCCATGGCATCATAGCTCACAGCAACCTTAAACTCTTGGACTCAAGCAATCCTCATTTTTTTTTTGCAGTTTTTGACCAGGGCTCGGTTTGAACCCACCACCTCTGATATATGGGGCCGGCACCCTACTTCTTTGAGCCACAGGCACCACCCACAATCCTCATTTTTTAAGGGGGTCTTGCTCTTGTTCAGGCTGGTCTCAAACTCCTGAGCTCCAGAGATCCTCCTGCCTCAGCCTCCCAGAGTGCTAGGATTACAGGCGTGAGCCACCATGCCCCGTCTTCTTCCATTTTGTATTCCCCCAGCAATGGACACGAGTGCCTCTCCCTGTAGCCTTGCCAACAGAGTGAATAGTCAAAATCTTGAACTTTTACTAATCAGATAGCTGAGAAATGAGTAGTTTTAACTCTCACATCTCTTATTAAGAGCAAAGGGGAGCATATTTTCCATATGAGTAAGAGCCGTTTGCATTTTTTTCTACAAAATGTTGGTTTAATCTGAGAAATGTAGGTTTAATCTGATTCTTACTAAAGCTGTTGGTCTTCTCTATTTTTAGAAGCTCTTTATCTGTATGTAAGCTGAAAATGTTATTTTGTAGTTTGATAATATCCTTTTACTTTACTTATGCAAAGTATACCTTGCTATGAAAAAGTTTTCCTTTTTTTTTTTTTTTTTGAGACAGAGCCTGAAGCTGTCCCCCTGGGTAGAGTGCCGTGGCATAACAGCTCACAGCAGCCTCCAACTCCTGGGTTCAAGCAAGTCTCCTGTCTCAGCCTCCCGAGTAGCTGGGACCACAGGTGCCTGCCACAACGCCAGGCTATTTTTCGGTTGCAGTCGTCATTGTTGTTTGGTGGGCCCGGGCTGGATTCGAACCCGCCACCTTAGGTGTATGTGGCTAGCGCCTTAGCCACTTGAGCCACAGGCACTGAGCTGAAAAAGTCTTTCATGGTTAATTTTTAATGTGACCAGATTTATCAGTCTTTTTCCATATGACTTCTAGATGTAAAAGCATCATTAGAAAAACTTTCCTCACTCTCTGGTTGTAAAGTATCTTACCTAAGACTTCTTCTAACACATGTATGGTTACATTTTTACACTTAAATATTTGATCTATGGGGTTCCAACCTTTTTATTTCTCTCCTACACATTGATAAAAGAGTTGTCTTGAGCCACATGAGCATACTTTTCTTGATATTTCACACTACAGATAAACAAAAAAAGGCCTCAAAAATCAGCATGCTGCCTGTGAGCCACATGTTGAAATTTATCCCAGTGTAATGGTTATTTAGAATGGGTCCATTTTTACATTTTTGTATGGCTATCTGGTTATCTCAACACCACTTTTTTATTTTATTTTATGAGATAAATCTTACTCCATTGCCCAGGCTATAGAATAATAGCAGCATCTTAGCTCACAACTTCAAACTCTTGGAATCAAATGACCCTCCTCCTTCACCTTCTTAGTTAGCTGTAACTACAGGTACATGCCACCACAATCAGCTAAATTTTTTGTAAAGACTGTAATCCTAACACTCTGGGGAGGCTGAGGCAGATGGATAACCTGAGCTCAGGAGTTCAAGACCAAGCTGAGCAAGAGTGAGATCCCCATCTCTACTAAAAATAGAAAAACTAGCCAGGTGTGGTGATGGGTGTCTGGTCCCAGATACCTGGGACACTGCAAGAGGATCACTTAAGCCCAAGAGTTTGAGGTTGCTGTGAGCTGTGATGCCATGGCACTTACCCAGAAAAATAGAGTGAGACTCTGTCTCAAAAAAAGAAAAAAGAAAGAAAATTTTCTTAAGCAGAACACTAAAGATCATGAGGAAAAGACAAATTTTAACATAGTCTAATTAATCAGTGACTTCTGTTCTTCGATATTTGCAACACACATAAACAAGGATTTCTATTAAGAATATATAGAATTTCTACAAATGAGTGAGTTATACTGGAGTAAAACAATTAAGAAAGCAGACTAAAATGTAATGATATGTTTTACCAACTCAGTCTTTATACTTATTTCCAAAGCAATTCATGATTTTTATTGGATTTTTATTTATAATAGTTTTTGTGTCTCTTTATAGGAATCCAGCTGGTGGAAGAATTCAGTTGGTTATTGCCACTGTAATCACTCTTTTCCCATTTGTCTCATGGGTCTACATATATATAAACAAGGACATTCGGTCCTCCTGGCCAACTCACTGCAAGACAGTAATTTAAATGACTTTAAGAATCTTGTTATTAAAATAAACATTTTAAGTCAATGTTTTATAAACATTTAGGGTAACCATCCAGTTTTGTAGGAGTTTATTTCAGGTCATTTAGACTAATAGAGTTTTGGTTGTTTTTTAAACCCTAAGAACTTTTTAAGGCTGCCTACAATTCAGTGTAAGATTGGATGGGACTAGTTAAGAAATAGAGTCTGGTATTCTCTGGAAGTCTTTGTGAAAGTTATTGTATATCATAGGGTAGCAGAAAAGGCATAGAACAAAGGTTTCAAAATGTGAGTTCTAATTCAACTTCCTCTCTACCTATGTGATTTGGGAAATTTTATAAAATAGGATTAATACCAGATCTACTTACACAGTTGCAAAGTTCAAGCCAGATAATATAAAAACATTCTAAAAATATGAAAGTGCTTACCAAGATTACAAAAGGCCTACTCATAATTAAAAGAGAGGGAAGTGAAGGTTTGGGTAACGTACTGAAATAGAGGTTCTAGAAGGGGTGATGCACTAATCTCAGTAGTTCCCGACGTGGTCTCATGAACTACACAAGAACCTACAGGAAACTAAGGAACAGGCATATCTTAGAAAGAAAGGGAAGTTGGGGTGGTGCCTGTGGCTCAAAGGAGTAGGGCGCCAGCCCCATATGCCAGAGGTGGCGGGTTCAAACCCAGCCCCGGCCAAAAACTGCAAAGAAAATAAATAAATAAATAAAAGGGAAGTTGGACAGAATAAAGGCACTTGAGACCAATGAGGAAGGAAACAGGGAATATTAATTACATTCTAAATGAGAAATAAGGCTCAAAATCTATACACATTCTTTTTATTTATTTATTTATTTTATTTGGAGACAGAGTGTCACTTTGTTGCCCTCAGTACAGCTCACAGCAACCTCCAGCTCTTGGGCTTTAAGCTTTTTCCTCAGCTTCCTAAGTAGCTGGGACTACAGGTGCCCACCATAAATGGATGTCCAAACTAAGCCCAGTGAGGCTTACTTTGAGAGCTGCACCCTCCAGGGTGGGAGCCACTAGCCACATGTTGCTATGAAGCACCTGAAATTGGCTAGACTAAGAAAGTAAATTTTAATTTTTTTCATTCTCATTGTAATCTAAAAACTGACAGTCAATTATCAGAAAACTTTTAAGTGTGGTGTGGAACAACTTGGGCATATGAATCTACTTTTCAATTAAAAATTGTAATACCTAAATATAGATCAAGTGTTCTCAATGAAAATTTAGTGTCCCAGTGAATGGGCATAAGTATAAAATATACACTAGATTTTAAAGATATGGTACAGAAAGAATGTAAAATATTTTATATTGATCACATGTTGAAATACTTTAGCTATATTGGGTTAAAAATCATTAAAATAGATTTTATCTGTTTCCATTTACATTTTAAAATGTGACTGCTGGGCGACGCCTGTGGCTCAAGGAGTAGGGTGCCAGCGCCATATACTTGGGGGTGGTGAGTTAAAGCCCGGCCCTGGCCAAAACTGAAAAATATGTGTATATATATATATGACTGCTAGAATATTTTTAATTATTTGTGATTATTCTGCTTATACTATTGTTTCTGCTTACCTTGCTTTTCTGTTGGACAGTCTCATGCTAAAGGATGGCAACTTTTTTACATATGTGAGCATCAAACTCTGTGGTCAGATACTGTTTTATGAGATCTAGGAAACATATTACTCAAAAAGAATCAGCACCTTCCATGTGTCAGAAGAGTGAAAATGAGTCTAGTAGTTTGTCTCTTTATTTTTATAGCATTTATAATAACAGTACGTATTCTATGAATATTTGTTAAAGGAGGTATGTGTGTTTTGTTTTTGGTGTAGTGGCCACAGAACAGTGAGAAATTCTCTGAGATTAAGATTTGCATGAGAGGCTGGGACAGTGGCTCACACCTAGAATTCTACCACTCTGGGAGGCTGAGGTGGGTGGACTGCTTGAGCTCAGGAGTTCAGGACCAACTTAAGCAATAGTGAGACCTCCATCTTCTATTATTAGAAAAACTAACCAGGTGTCATGGCACACACCTGGAGTCCCATCTACTCTGGGCTCACACCTAGAATTCTACCACTGTAGAAAAACTAACCAGGTGTCATGGCATACACTTGTAGTCCCATCTACTCTGGAGACTGGAGCAAGAGGATGGCTTAAGCCCAAGAGTTTGAGGTTACTATGAGGTATGACGACACCATGGCACTCTACCCAGAGCAATGGAATACAACTCTGTCTCAAAAAAAAAAAAAGGGGGGGTTTCTAGATGAGAGAAATGGGGAAGGTTATAAAAAAAATATTGACCCAGGGTGGTGCCTATGGCTCAGGGCCAGCCCCATATACTCTGGAGACTGGAGCAAGAGGATGGCTTAAGCCCAAGAGTTTGAGGTTACTATGAGGTATGACGACACCATGGCACTCTACCCAGAGCAATG